TAGATGATGGAATACCCTCTTCAATCTCAAATTTGGGGAATAACAAAAATTATTATGATGATATTTGTTTTTTGTCATTAACACATTTGCTGCAGAAATTGAAGGAAGTTACTTCATCACTTCAACTTCAATTTATGTGAATCTGTTATCTTAAAGAGTTTGTAATAGACCACAGCTTTGGTCACCCTATTCATTAGCATTCTATATCTCTGACCATTACTAAACGTCTTATATTTGTATAATCTCCCAGAATTTCCCTCTGTCATTGTTCATGAGTACAGAGGTCTGTTGTTTCAGTGTTTCTGTGTCTTAAGTTTGTGCTAGCACCTAATACTATTCACATAACCACAATAACAGTCATTCATACAAAACTTAAGAATACATTTATAATTTATCATTGTACTAAATTTCGTGTTATAGTTTCTCAATCTCAAGAGTAAGTCTACATTTTACATGGAAGAGCCATCATGAAAACTTCAAATCTTAAATACATTTTTCATAATCACCAGGTTGTTATTTTAAATTATGCCAAATGACCATAATCAAAAGTGGGATGTCTGACAAAGATTGTATCACCATTGAAGATATTAGGAGCATGTAGCAGTGATCTGTATGTTGCTTCCACCAGTTAAGTTTGGATGGTTGTCATGTTAGTACTCTTGATAGCAGGAAATTAGAAAGTAAGAACATTCCCTCGCTGTCATGACATACATTCTTATATAATGAAAATCAGCCAGTTGGTTCTCAGTTGCTGCTGGAGGACAAATACAGATAAGATACTGTAAGTGTACCTTTTTATGGAATAAGGAGCATAAGCTAGAAATATATTCACATTGTTTACAGATAAATAAGCATGCCTTCTCTGGAGGTCAGGCAACGATAGAGGAGCATCGAGAAAAGGGAGGAAATTGTGAAGTGGACATCTCGTATCAATACCTGCGTTTCTTTCTTGAGGATGATGAAGAGCTAAAACAAATTGAAAAGGTCTGTTTCTATATTATTGTGTCAAGTCTGAGTTTCTTTTCTTGAACACCTTCAGAATTTTTTGTTTGATTTCAGTCACAGAATAAAAATAATTGCTTTTCTTTGTGATATAAATTTTATGGGTAACTCGAGCAGCATTCCTCCTACTAAGAAGTGAAAACTGAGAAATGCATAAATAAATTGAAACTACTGCCTTTTTCTAGTTTTGGCAGTGTGGCTTTGTGTGACGAAAATTATGTCATGAGTAGTGAAGGTTGCATTCTGAAAAAGCAGTTACAAAGTAAAAGATGACTCATTACAACTAGAAAGCAGCATTCTCTGGTCATTCTTCATGAATCCACACACTGTTTTAATCCATAATCTTTCTTATTCAGTGCACATTTGACACCAGACACATCTATGCAGGTTTTATGTACCACATCTTGATAGAGGATGATGGGTAAGACGCTGACAATTTTGCTGTGACTTTTTACTAATAAGCTTTAGTGTAATATATATCAGAGGTGGAGCAACTCAAGGGGAAAGTTATTCTATGACTCTCAGTAGGATTGTAGTTTACACAAATTACTTGTGTATATATGATGAACACCTCATGTTATGCTGGCTCGGTAAGGTAAGAAACCAGTTTCAGAGTTGGGAACAACTGTGAAGAAGATTCTGCTGTTCAGCTTGTTTGAATCATGGTTTGCATGACTATAGCCCAAGAGAATGACCCTTTGTCACTGGAGATTCCACTGTAATATTTTTTTATTTCACAGAATTACAGTAGTGGAGAGCTGCTTACTGGAGAACTCAAAAAGAAGCTTATCAGTGTTCTTCAGCCTATAATTGCTGCACATCAGGAATGTCGAGCAAAAGTTACAGATCAGATAGTGCGAGATTTCATGACTCCTCGTAAACTGAAGTATGGCTATTGTTAAATGAATAAATTAGTATGGTGATACCTATGAAGACACTTTCATGCCTTGTTCAACATGAACCAGCAACTAGGTACATGAGCAAGGTTATTCTTAATTGACATAAAAATCAATTATGATGTGGGAGATTTCTGCCTTGAATTGAGAGATAGTAATGACAAATATTTAAAATAAGACCTAATAGTTTAAGGCTGTATGTTGTGACATATGCTTAGTTTTTGCTCTAACTAAAGACTTGCATACACTATCCTGTTTATTATACAGGCATTGGGTGAGGTGATGAGTGTATTGAACTGAATTCTATGTTTCCAGCGTTCTTAGTAAAACAGTGACACAGCTGTGAAAGTGTTAAATTTCAGTAGAGATAGTCATTGAAGAAGTGAAAATGGAAAACACTTCTGGCATCCTTACCATTTGTCTGTTTTGTTCTTTTTTTTTTTTTTGCA